CCCCCCCCGTGTTGTCTCATCTTGCCTGTGCTGTCTGGGCGGGGGAGCCCTGCCTCCTTTTGCCTTCCTCAGATCAATGCCCTGGCCACTCACTTTCTGATGTTGCACGACGGGAAATGCTTTGAATACTTACGACATGGCCGCTCACATTGATTGCCAAGATTGACAGCAGTAACCATCGCCTTCACTTGTTTCAGGAGGAAAAAAAAAATAATAATAATGAACCTGATTGTAACCAAATCTCCAGGCAACCCATCCGCAAACTTCTAACGATCGGGATCCTGCACAACCATGGCCCGGAGAAACACCAGCAGACTCTAGTTCATTTATTTTATTTATTTTATTTTATTTTACCGAATTACCACCCATTTATTCCTCTTTCTCTCTCCCCTTTCACCCCCTTCCCTCTTTTTTTTTTTTTTTTAAATGAAAATTCCCGAACCGCGTTGCAAAAAAAAAAAAAAGGAGGCTCTCCCAGTTCTTTGTGCCACACTGGATCCCGAGGAGGTAACCAGGGAAAAAAAGCCCTATTGTGTTGTATACCTGTTGTTTGCTGTGGTGTGTAGTGCTGCGTGGCTTGGTGGTGGTGGTGGCGGTTTAATGGGTTTTCGCTGGATTTATGTCGCTTTGCAGGAGAGAATCCGGTTCCCCCTGCGCTGTCTTTAATGGGTTGTTAGTTGCAATTGAGTGAAGCAGCAGCGTCCGGAGGTAGATCTGTTGTTTAGCTTTTAAAATTGCTGAATTCACCCCTTCCCCACTCACCCCCGCCCCAGGTCCAGAAGACAATGGGCCGATGATCACCACCCTCTGGGCTTCGCTGTTCGGCCAGTTTCAATCCACCTCACTGCCTGCTCCTCCAGCCCAGACGTCAACGGCTTCTCTTGGATTCCGGGGCTGTTTGAATCCCGAGGTTTCCGAGACGTTAAGGGACCCCAGTGCCTTGAAATCACAACACTTTCTCATCCTTCCCGAGTAGAGTTTATTTTAAAATGTAGTGACAGATCAGCGTTGTATTTTAAGATCACCCACGGCAGGCGAACACATGGTGCTGGGAAGATATTGTACGTAAGGAACTAACACGAGAGGGAGAAAGAGAGAGAGAGAGAGGAAAAATAAAATCCGAAATAAATCTTTGAGAGCAGAGCGCTGCTGTCATTACTCCGAAGTGCTCGCGCGGGTTTCTTTTCACGGATAACCCCAGCAGACACGGGATGGAGAAAGGCGAAGGGGGTTTAGTGGTGCCTTTACGTTCTCCGTTTAAGTTTGAGGTGGGTAACTGCTTTGAAGTTCGCCACAACCGAGTGCTATCCACGGAGCATGGAGTAACACAAAGCTACCGGAGTGGCGGCGGTGATGCTGGTTTTGGCCACACCGGGGCACTGTCCCGAGGATTCGCAGCTCTGTGGCGGCGCCTTATCTCTCCGAGCAGAGGGTTTGGATAAAGTTATACTGAAAACTTTAAAATTGATACCGCACCCTAATTTGTGATACACAGGGAGGGGGGAAGAAAGCAGTCCATCATCAGAGAGCTCCGTTTACACCCGGGGAAGGGGAGATGTGTGCCGCTTTGTGGCAACATTCGACTTGGGATTTCTTGCTGCCTTAGCTCTTTGCCGGAGGTCATGCAAATCGACCTTAAAAGAATGCATAAGCCATAAATTAAAATAAACCCTTAGCCAGAGGCTGATCCATAAGTAGACAATACCTAACCTGGACAAAACGGCTTCCTTTGCGAGCTGAAAAAAAGAATAGTGCCTAAACTAAATGCGAAGTAAGTTTTCAGGAGGTATTTCACTTACTATTATTATTATTATTATTCTTTAAAAACAAAATAGTGGCAGTTGCAACAAGCGAGCGCAGCTGTTTACAGACGGTGCTGTAGGGTACGAGCACGGCAAGGTGTGTCTGGCGGAGAGCGTGTTCTTTTCCTGGCTTTCACTACCTTCGAAGCTGTTTGGGTTTTGATTGGGGATAAGAAGCCTCTTTAACCGTATAAGCAATTTAATGTTTTATCTCGGATAACGCTGAAGAGTTTATGAACAAATCTGGGTTGCCTGCAAATGTCACATGCGCGCACACAAGCTGTGTCTGTATATAATAGTCTCGGGGCTTGTTTTTTTTTCCCGCAGTTTTTGACAATTGTTCCATTCATGATCCTGAAAGGAATCATCAGTGGGAGCTAATGAGTGTGCCTCTGCGGCTTGCCCTGCTCCGGGGAGGAGCGGGCACCGGCGCTGCCGCCGAGCCCGCTCGTGTAATGCATGCACGCGTGTACCGGCGGCGGGGTCGCCCCTGCGTGAGCGCGGCTGTGTGTAGATACGCGAGAGAGAACATATAGGCGTGATGCGAGCAGGTACTTCCACGGGTGCATTAATAACCGAGCTGCCAGAGAGCTGCTCCTCTGCCGAGAGAGCTTCCCAGCTCCCTTTCCGAGTCGGGCTGAGCAGCGTGGAGCAGTTAACCCGCTTTGCAGCAGGGGCTGTGCGCTTCAGCAGAGCAGGGCCTTGAGGTCAATCAGAGGCACCGATCATATCGATTTGATTGCTGTCTTTGCTTTCTGCGGACCGTTTCACGGCGGTGTTCGGTGGTTTGTTTTGTTGTTTGCTTTGGTTGGTGTTTTTTTTTTTTTTTTAAAGGACGGGCAGGAGTGAAAGTGGCAACGTGAAAAGACAATTAGTGTTGTGTCTGAGAGGCGGGGGGGGGCTGCAGGGAAAGTCAGCCTGGTGGGAGCCTGGGGACGACAGATTAGTTCTGTCCTAGGGGTGTTTCCCAAAAACATAGACGGTGAAACTTTCTGTGATAAAGTAATGTATCTTCGCCTGCTGTTTGTAGATAAGGTATATGTTTATTAAGCTAATTTAAATAGCCTTCGGCACACGAGCGGCACTTTGTTCCTACTGTTTTCTTTTACCCTCATTTTAACATTTTTGGTATTTCCATCTTCAGTGCTGATCGTGAGGGCATATTTATCCAGTCCCCAAACAGGGTTTGAAGTCCAAAAATTAACGAATTTCCCTTTCTGTATTCGTGTAATGGAGTAATTTTGAAACCTGTTTTGAGACTCCGACTTGACTTGACTTGTTTTATTGACGTGCTTGTGCCCACTCATTTAATTAAGCCATTATGCCATAAAGTAAATAAGAATGAATGTGAGATATGTGCATGTAGTCTGCCTTTACATACAAATATTTCCCTGGAAAAGATGCTTTAAAAAACTTTTTTCAGCACACCATGATTCCTCGGCAAGATCTTATTGCAGGTTTTTGTTTTGAGCCAGGATATTTCGCGTGTTTCTGTGGTCACAACGTTATATGCACACTACACTCGGAATATAAACAGCAAGCGTACCTAGCAGCTCATTCTAGTAAAACTAAGAAATAATCTATTTATAGTGAGTACATTTAAAAGAAAATAATGAGGTCATTTGGAGTATGCTGCAGTTTGAAGTAGCTCGACACCTGGCAGAAACTGCATATGCGTTTTCTTCAGACTCTGCACTATCCCTAACTTTTCCTTATAATACATTCTTGTGTTAAGTGAGAAAGGCTGCTTGTAAAACAATCCCCTGGCTGGTTCCAGCGTTGGGTGAAGCTGATCCTGTAATGGCATTTTGTTTTGAACAGTTGCTGTAGTTGAAGTTCCCTCATAAGGTAAGGTGGCACTGGGTCTGAAAGGAGGTCCAAATGCCACATTTATAATTAGACTGCCAATTCAGCACATTGTATCTATTGCTATACAGGGATATACTGCTGTGTCTGGTCTCTCAATAGACTGTATTCAGAATTAGCCAATTCAACTGCTTAAACTTTGGAGTCAAATTTAGAATAGGCAATGAGAGAAGGAAAGAAAGAAAACAATAATGCTTTCTTTTTTCCTCAGCTAGCTATTAAAAGCCAAAGAATATACGGAAACCAAACCAGGCACTGCACTTGGAATCAATGCACCAAGCGCAGCCTGGCCAGCCTCGCCTGCAAAACCGTTCTGAA